CCGCCATTCACGCGCCGACCCCCGTGAAGAAGGGGGGACCGTCCGAAAAGAGCTGGCAAGATGTCGGGGGGGAGCCGAATCCCCCATACCCATCGCAGACCTACAAGTAAGTTGGCTCCTGGTCGGGATCCCGTGCGGGGCAACGGCTTAGCGGATGATGGATAAAAGCTCTAGCCAGGCTGGAGCCTGGACTGCCAGCCAGTGAGCAATGCCCTTTTTAAAGCACACTATCACGCACAGCCACCCTCCTGAGATTCAGCCAGGATTCGGCGGCTGCCGATCGAATGGGGGGAGTTGTTTTTAGAGAGTTCTCTACTGTTTTATTCTACTTCTGCAACTTCCACTCTTCCTCACTCCCCTGGCACTTTTCTCTGTCGCTTGTGACAGCAGAAGCAAGCGAGGTGAATTCTCTTTGCGCCCCGAAGGATTTGAAACCAGGTTAAAGGACATCATCGCCCCATTATGGGCCTTTTTCCCCCCGTGGTCCCCCCCCCTCAAATCAGCTCCAGTTAGGTGCCAAATGGAGAGAATCGGGTGGGGAAACCATTACGGGTTACTTTTGGAAGAAGTGTTTTAAATACCCGGGGAACGGAGTTAAAACATCCGTTCCCCGATCTGGCGTGGGAATCCGGCCACGGTTTTGCTTCCCTTGAAGGTTCCTGTCTGTGGAGATTGCATTTTTCACCCTGCGGGAACTTTGGGTTGATGCCCGCGCCCCGCGAGGCCCCTATGCGCCCCCCGTCCCCGAGATCTCGCCAGTAACTTTGGCTGTGTTCGTCTCCCTCCAGAGCCGTGCGGGCCCTCTGCGACTACACGGGCAGCGAAGCCGGGCATCTGGCCTTCCACAAAGGCGACATCCTGCAGGTGATGGAGACGGTGGATGAAGACTGGGTCCAGTGTTTCTCTGGAGACTGCCAGGGCCTCGTGCCCGTGGGCTACACTTCCCTCATCTTGTGAAATGGTGGGGCGGGCAGGGTGGAATGAGGATGCTGGGTCCGGGGGAAGGAAAAGCCCCCTCCCGTTAACCCTCCAAACTGTTAAAAAAAATATATAGCAAATTACAAAGCAGCGTGGCATCATGGACCAGGGTTCCTCGCTCGGCAAAAGCATCACCGGGGGCTACTTTACAGCCGGGCACCGTTTCTACCAACATCAAGATCACCATTTTGGCTCCTGCTGCAATGTTTTGCTCTGCTTCCTCTAACCTGGCAGCCTTTAACTGGGTTGCCCATCCTCCCCAGTCTGAAGCTGGCTGGGGATGATGGGGGAATCCGTACCCCAGGCCTTGGAGGGCGCCTGGACCAGTTTCCATGTTCTCCGCCTGGAATCCGAGATTTTTATTTATTTTACGCGTGTCTGCTGCCCTCGCCGGCCGTGCGCCCCACCAAAAGAGCATTTTCCTGTAATGTGTATATTGAATATATCTGTGTACATATATAGAGATGGATATATATATATATAATTTAATCTTTTCTGCTGGTTCGGTCGGACCTCCACTGCTTCTAAGGCAAGAGCGGACGTCCTTTGCATCGATCAGGGTTAGGGTTAATCCCTTCCCAAATGATCTATCAATGAATCCCTTCCGAAATCAGCCCCCTCGGCTTTCTAGGGGACGTCGTGTACGTTGGAGGGGGAAATAAAAAGATTGTTAAGATGTGAGCCGACGCCAGCTCTTGTGCATCCGAGTCCCAAAGCCAGATGCATGGGGAGGAACAAATTAGCAAGTCAAACTCCGTTGCTAGGAATCAGCCCGGCCCTCTTGGAGAATTTTGGCTTTTATTTGCCTTTCCCAATGTTTATTTTTGTATTTTTTTTCATCTTTTGGGGGTTCCTTCTTGTTTGTTTTGACCATTGAGTCCTAACTCAAGATTATGACCACAAAGACCATCACCTTCAGCTCCCCCTGGTGGTGCAGGATGGAAACAGAACCTTTTTTAAAAAAAAAAAATGCTTAGAGGTGGGCAGTTGTGAAAGGGGTCTTGTCCGTCTCTTGGGGGAGAAAAAAGCTCGTTTTAAACGCAAATGGAGCCACGAGGGGCGAGGAGTTATTCTTTTAATCACTGAAAAACTCAGGGGGTTGCTTTTTATTTTATTAACTTTTTTTTTTAAAAAAGGGATGTTCCTTTAGGCGAGCTTCCCCCCCCCTTTTAATGTCCTTTTTAAAATTTCTGCAAAGCTGCCCAGAGCCCTCTTGCGCTTGGGCAGCCTAGAAATGTGATGAACAAACAAATAAATCGTATATATACAAGGGCTCCGGGCAGGGTGTTGGTTGAAGATTTCAAAGCTTCGCGACAGATGCTGAGAATTTGGAGCCGGCACGCGAAAGGGAGCCTCCAGGGTCAGGAGCAGCCTATCTGGGAACACACACCACGCATCTTTTGGAAATCAGCCGCTGCAAAACAAGCTCTTGGCTGCTCCAAAGCTTGGTGGGGAGGTCGGCGAGTGGACAAAGAGAGGTTTTCACCTTTGTCCTCATCGGAGGTCTATTTAGCCAAAGTTTAGCCGTGGTGCAACAGAACAGCTGTGACTGGGAACTACGGGGGCAGAGGCCGCCTTTGCCACGAAAGGAAGATTTGTGTGTTAACGTGGCTGGGCCTGAATCGGAGGCGAGGGAGGAACGACCTTCGTCTCACGATCACAAACCCAAGTTTAGGGGGGGCTTACCGTGTCCTACAAAAGGTTAATGCGCTCAAGGAAAGGTGGCCAAAGGATTGGTTTCCCCCCAGCGGATTCTGCATAAAAATTGCATTAAGAAGTCAATGGCAGCACCCCTCCCGAAAAACAGCCCCCGTTTACAATTTTCATTTTGTCTCCTTAGTTCAGTGCTTCTCAACCTTGGCCGCTTTAAGACGGGTGGACTTCAACTCCCAGAATTCCCCAGGGATTCAGCTCAACCCCCCAAAATCCACATGTCCCAACCAGCTGCCCTCCCGGCAGCACAGAGCCCTGAACATTTAGGATAACCTAACTGAATAAATTACAGCTTCATCTTTCAGCCTGAGCTGCGAGAGTCTTCATCAAACACCAACCAACAAACCCCCCTGAATGTAGAAAGCTAGCATGTCAGGACTGGATATGACTCTCTCCCTGCAATGCTAGCTTTCTAGTTGCGAGGTTTTAAAAAACACACACACACTAAAATCGGATCCTTACTTCCACTCTAAACGTCTCTCCTTTCTACCACCTCATTCTGACTGCCTGTGAAATCCAGCATCAGGAAAAGCCTCCACAATTCTGTAAAGGAAGGGAAAAGCACGTTGGCTTGACGTGCTGATTTCCACCTAGGATCTGATCTGCACGCCATGTTGAATTTTTCTGCCACAACGCTTACTCTTTGGGGCGGGGGAGAGGCACTAAACCAACAAAATGCACATTTGTTGAAGGAGAACGGGGGAAAAGGAAGGAGAACGACCGTGCCGGCTGGCGGGGATCGGCAAACCGGGAAGGAGCCGCAACCCGCTTGGCCTGTGCAAGGCTGGGGCCGTACGATGTCCTAAACGGGCTGGAAGAATCATCCCCTCCAACTAGAAATTTAACTCCCAAAGGCCTGGGTTGTGGGGAGGGGGGGAGGCAAAAACTGGGGAATCACGCACAGCAACTCCAGGGGCCAGGGAGACCAAAAAGCCCCCCTCTCTTTCCCTTTATCCGGGTTTGTGCGTGAAGAAGGAGAACCGCCGTGCTGTT